TATGTGTAAAACGAACTAAGATAACGGATTTCGAAAAACGAATTCTCGAAACGTATGAAAAAAAAACCTTCTGTAACATGGCGCACTGCGTTCCCTTGCCACATCCTGGAGGTCCCAGTACAAATACAACTTTAGGTAAGTCAGTAGTACCAGTCATAACGAGATATTCGAGGACTGCACTAGGTGGCAGCTCTGAAAAAAAAAAGTCAAGTTATCCTTAATGCTTTTGAATCTCAAAAACGAAAATAGCGATATAAGCCAAAGAGCCAACATTCTGTTATGCGTTCCCGTAACGAGAAGTGCCAAGTTGGTAAAACAACAGACACAAAAACTGATTATGATAATTTGCCAGTTCATTCAGCACACGAAAAGCACTAAAATTTCAGATTTGTAAATTTGCTAAATCAGTGTCCAGCTGCTATCAAAGCCATTAGCCATAAAAAATGTTAAGCAAATTCATCTTCCCCGGTGATTCAGGAATTAAACGCTTAGATAGTACTGTATTCTCATAAAAACCGCTTACTGATCATTACACATAATGATTGTCCATATTATGTGTTAACTCCTCTTCTTTCCTCTCTCACTCTGTTTGCTCCTTCACTTATATCTTTTTTTTTTTCGCTTATTCGTCTTGCAAATTAGTTACACTACTATTCCATACACAGCAGGTAGGAGGCTGTACTAATTGATTCTCACTCCTACTCATATGCATAGTTCGGTCCGAGTCTACAGCTAAGGAATGAAACACAGAGACTGCATGATAAAACATCTTCACACACATGACATTCAAATCAGATCCTTCTATTCTTCTATTTTATAACGATTTGTTAGCTGATTCAGCAAAAAAGAAGTAGCGAAACCCCAGGCTTATGACTTGTTTCGTTCTGAGGAGTCAGCTCATATTTGAACATCCGGCAAAAAAAGGACATCAAACACTAACGCTTGAAAGCTGATTTCTAGCAAAATTTAATCTGCCTTATCTACTTCGGTTTTTGGAAAATACGGTACAGGAAATGTATGCCAGGAAAAGAAATTAGCCAATCATATCGCAGAAATGAGAGACAACAGATGGACGAAGCGAATAATCGACTGGTACACAAGACACATCAAAAAAACAGTTAGAAGGCCACCGATGCGCTGAGCCGATCTGCTAACTCGAATGTGTGTAGCACAGTGGATGCAGAGAGCATAAGACCCGGTGTTGATGGTAGTGTGGTTACTGTCGCGCACAGCTTTGGAGAACAATGTAGTTGTAAATCAAGTGGTGAACTAGTAGTCGTTTCATGTGTATATCAGCTATAAAACCACAAAAACTATGAGTTTTGGCTCATCTTTTTTAAAAATATAAAGTTAGTCGAAATCGAAATCTGAGGTTGTAAATCAAGTGGTGAAACAGAAGTCGTTTCATGTGTATATCAGCCATAAAACCACAAAAATTGTGAGTTTTGGCTCGTCTTTTTTAAAAGTATAAAATTAGTCGAAATCTAACGTTGCAAAATACGATTATGAAAAGAGTAATTCTTAGAGTAATCTTATTTCTTATTTAAATTAAATACTGTAATTCTGCGAACGACAGACAATGGTTGACGAGAATCTGACGAACATTGACTGCAACATTGAACACCGAAAAATGACTGACTTTTTGGCGGACGCCTGACCTGTAATCTCTGTGCGATAACCTCAAATGTAACTCATTAAACCACAGTTAAACAACAACACCTGAATACTAGTATAGCATGATACCCGTCATAGGCAAAACCAAGGGGGTCTCCTGACGGGGGAGCGGGGGGAGGGGTGGTTTCACCTCTCCTCCCTTCGCCACCAAACCCCCCCCCCCTTCCCTCGGCCAGCTCACACCCCACTTCTCGATCGTCGTGCTACCCCCTCCCCCCTCCCCCACCCCGCTTTTACTGGTGAAAGCTAAACTGAAAGTGGCAGAGCTCCTGGGGACAGAAAGGGGGGAGGGAGGATGGGGAGGCAACAGGCAGTATCGAACGCACTTCCGTACAGTAAAACAACTAATACCTGAGTCTCTAGGGGGAGTGGGAGGGGGAGTGGAAGGTCCTTCACCCTTCCCCTCTGGATCGTCAACGGTACCCGTGATTCATTAAGCTATGGCTTAGTTATCGAAACAAATGATACTCATGATTCATCAAATGGTACTCATGATTCATTAAACAACAGCAACAAATATCACAACGATGTGGTACCTGTCAGGACATAAACGGTCGTTTGGCCACCTTCCGAAAAGGTGGTTTTAAATAGGACGGGTACTAACTGAAGGCGCGCATCTCAGGATTGAAGGACCTGGCATAGTTACGTCCAGCGTATCTCGAAGTATTCCAGTAATAAAATTTGAAAGCAAAATTTGGCAAAAAATAAATGGGAATAGTATAAAAATATTTTTTATATGAAAAGTAATGTTGAAGAAAAACATATGATCTCCATTCCAGCTGACCAGGCAGTTTTGGTATTTTTGGTACACATATGAACACAAACAAATTAACAAGTACCGCAGTATATAACAGTGAATGAATATAAATTTTATTATCGGAATGTCTTAATGGACCGAAACGTCTTATCTCACTCTTGCTCTCTTTTCTCGTACTGTATTCTATTGCTCCTTCGCCGCTTAGGCTTTTAAGGTCAACCTGGTTGCTACAGTCCGCTTGTCAGATTGATATTGTACTACAAAAATATTATTTACTTATTTAATTACTTACTACTTAGTTACCTACTTAACTAATGCATGTGTAATATAGCAACACAAAATACCACAGAAACAGCCAAACCAGTCCGAACCATAATGTGCTAGGAAAGAACTTGTTTGACGGACTACCCCCATCCATCTCTCGTTCGGACGATGAAAGCTGAATACTCCATGCTGGATTTCGACTTATATATAGGTCGTTTTCTGGGGGCGTGCCCGTACAAGTATCCCAATTATCCTTGAGGAAATCTTGTGCTGCTGCTGAGGATGATTCTAGGAACTCGGGTTTATTCTTCGCGGATACCAGGTCTGGAGGATAAGAAGAGGATTTGACTCAAGAAATGACGGCGGCTTTTTTGGAAAGGTCCATTACTCATCCTATTTATAAGAGGTTAATTGCTTGGATAAGCAGCAATCATAAAATTGCTTTTCTCAGCCATTTAGCCAGTAAAGAGGGCGATTCTGGGAAAATGGATCAGCAGGAAGTATCCTAGGATTAGCGAATCACAAAAAAGTTGGATTTGACCCGAGCGGTGATTGGGACCTTTTTGGAACGGAGGTGCTTCTCTGTAACAACAAGAGGGTTAACTGTGTTCGCACAAACAGCAATCGTCCTGCTCCTTTCTCTGCCACTTGCCCAGGATCGATAATGGGAAGCAATTATTCACAGTATCATCAAGAACACGAAAATATTTGACCTTTGCGTTTTTACCCGTTAAAAAGAGCATTTAAAAGACTATTTTTATACGTAGCATTCCCGTAAGCAGTTCAACAGCATGGTTCTCAAACTATACAGATGTTGGTGATTCGTTCTGACTTCTCAAATTTGGGTTATTGAACTTCATAAAAATTTCAGGTTATTACTTAATACTTGGAAACGACTACTAATTCGCCACCGATTCATCAACGATGTAGCCGACAATCATGCTATTCCCAGTCTTCATTTCACAGTTGTTTTGACCAGTGCTGCATTGCCCAGTGGTCAGCCTGTTGGTGGAATTGATATTTACTTTATTTTCTCGGATTTGAGTTATTTTACTTCATTTTACACACCACAACTTTCACTTTTACAAACACGTCCTTTTACTAATTTTAATTTTAATACAACACAACTATTTAAAATATGAATCAAATTTACATTAACTACCTCAATCGTCGTACTGACAAGGTCCAGTTGTGGTAATGGTAAGAAATGTATATGAATTAATGGACCGAAACATTTCTTACCACTGCAATATTTTACTTCTACTAATTTCATAATATTATTTTCTCTTCTTCGAACTTTGAAATACTTCCCTATTCCTATTACTAGTTAATTATCTATTTATGGTCGTAAGGGCATTAAAAGGAAAAGGAGAAAGAACTGAAGCAGAAAAATGGAAAATGAAGAGGAGGTAGGCACAAAGACAGGTCCAGGATGGCTTCTTAGGGGATGGAGGAAAATGGGTCTACTGGTATGGCGACAAGTGGGGGTAGCGGGGGTGGAGGGAGGGGGCAGAAGGAAGTTTTCTTCAGTTTTAGCTGTAAACCCGACTTAATGAAACTGTTCGCTAAATTCCAGGGGTCTGGTCATCCTTTCCGGATGTTTGATTTCGGGGAGATTCCACACAGATAATCCCTCCAGCCATGCCAAAAAGGGTAAACCGAAAAGTAATACAAAGATTTTGTAGATTTTTATCTAACAGCGTAGAAATGCATTCTGGACAAAATAGCACAGCCACCCAAATCCTTAACTTAAGCCGCTCAACAACAACTCCTTAACCGTGACGGAAATCCACTGAAGAGATAGCTCCGGGCGATTCCTTAGCCGCCGGACTCTTTCTGAACCTTATTCACCTCACACAGCAATAAGGCCTCAATTTCGAGGGGAATTTTTTGAGGGTATAACTCCGACCTCAAATCCTTGGCCGCCCTTGCTCCGCTATTTTATAGTGAGCGAAAAAAAAAAAATTAATCGGCTTGCGAGCCCTTCTTATTTCACAATAAATCTTCAATTCTGGAGAAC